AAAAAAAAAAAAAAAGTTATGCTAAACGAAACCCAGACACATATTTTATAATTCCATTTATATAAAATATCCTAAATACTAAGTCCATAAAAAACGGATTAGTGGTTGCCAGAGAAGGCTTAACATGTACAGGGTTTTCTTTTCTGTGATGAAAATGTTTTGTAATTAGACAGAGGTGGTGGCTGAAAAAATTGTGAATGCACTAAAAAGTATTTCCAGTCATAGAGTTAAGTGGATGTTAAGTATGCCCTTTTCCCCCTCCCTCACTTAGGAGATTCACAATGCACATTAGCACATTTAAGATTCTAAAAAATTCTGTAGTGAAAATAAAAACACTTATTTAAACTCAGCATTTCTGAGAAATACAAATAGTCCCTCAGTTAAGTGTTTTTTAAAATGTAGGTCAAAACTCCATTAATTGAAATCAATCTAGTGGATCAGAATAAGGATCTTTAAAAAATGAAGTAGAGTAGGGGTGCCTAGGTGGCTCAGTCTGTTAAGCGTCCGACTTTGGCTCTGGTCATGATCCCATGGTTCGTGGGTTCGAGCCCCGCGTTGGGCTCTGTGCTGACAGTTTGGAGCCTGGAGCCTGCTTCAGATTCGGGGTCTCCCTCTTTCTCTCTCTGCCCCTCCCCTGCTCATGCTCTGTCTCCCTCTCTCTCAAATATGGATAATAAAACCTTTAAAAAAAATTTAAAAAAAAGAAAAAGAAAAAATGAAGTAGAGTAGAAAATACAAGACTGTATCAGTAAAGACAAGCATTTTGCTTCTTGAAGATTTTGTTTCAGTGACATATACAATATACCAGGACATGCTGTTAAATGTATTTCTTTTTTTTTTTTTTAATATTTATTAAATATTGTGAGAGAGAAAGAAAGCATGCATGAGGGAGAGGAGCAGAAAGAAAGGTAGAGAGAGAATCCCTAGCAGGCTGCAAGCTATCAGCGCAGAACCCAATGTGGGGCTCAATCCTACGAACTGTGAGGTCATGACCTGAGCCAAAATCAAGAGTCAGATGCTTAACTGACTGAGCCACCCAGGCACTGCTGTCAAATGTATTTCTTACCGAGTCATCATCAGAAAACTATGAAAAACTCTTTGAATACAACAAAACAAATCTTACCTCACTTACCATATTATAGAATTCCAGCTCTCTTGGACCCCTGGGAGGTGGCTGTAACTGTTTCAAAACTGTGCCATCCGGATGTTGCAGGATACCTATAGAACAAAATTTAGGTATTTTTTAATGCTTTGATAACAGTATACCTTGCATCACAGAATAGATGTGTTCCTAAAGTTACAGATAAATCACATTCATAAAAATCAAGGGGTCTGTCTTCCTTATTTCAGAAATTTTAACATTTAACCGATACATTTCAGTGCTTGTTATATGCAAAGCACCAGAACACAAATTCCAAATATTATGGTTTTATTGTCTCCAACTACTACTCCCCTTAGAGAACCTCTCAAAAATTCTAATAAATAGAATATATTCCTAAATTTTTATAGAAATTCTTCAGTAACAGTCTTTCTGGGAGATGTTAATTTATAGTTAAGAAGTTAAAAGCAGTAGCATAAATTGATTATACTCTTGTAAACAGAAAAAAAATACACGTTAAATGTGGAACTACATGAAGGTTCTATTGTGTAACTTTTTAAAGTTTCTCTTGTTATAAGAAAGCAACTAAAATCTTTTCCTGATTCAGATGTATGAAGCCACCAAGCCACTGGGAAAAGTGGGGGCTGAAATCAGACACCAAGCCGGGAGCAGGAAGGGACAACTTTTCTTTCTTTTTTTTTTTTTTTTTTTTTTTTTTTTTTTTTTAATTTTTTTTTTCAACGTTTATTTATTTTTTGGGACAGAGAGAGACAGAGCATGAACGGGGGAGGGGCAGAGAGAGAGGGAGACACAGAATCGGAAACAGGCTCCAGGCTCTGAGCCATCAGCCCAGAGCCTGACGCGGGGCTCAAACTCACGGACCGCGAGATCGTGACCTGGCTGAAGTCGGACGCTTAACCGACTGCGCCACCCAGGCGCCCCGAAGGGACAACTTTTCATAACCAGCTCGCTCAAAGGAGCAGCCCTTACCTAAAGTCATCACATATGTACCAGCACTGGCCCTGTCTCTACACCATGAAGAATCATTCCCAAATGTATACGTTAAACTCTTAAATTTTCAAATACTAAGATTTCACAAAATCATGCCTGTTAAAACACAATAGGGCTCAAATAACCTATTTATTTTGAGAAAATATACCACTTAGGCTTCTATTTCTTTTGGCAAGTCAGGAATTTTGAATCATTACAAAAATACAGAATTTAATCAACAGAAGCAGAAAATCTGAAGAAGTACAGTTATCAAGTTTATTTAACACCTAGATATAGAATAGAAGAAAGGTAAATATTCAGCCATATGTTAAGACTGGTTGGTAAGTAGTTGAAAGATTTTGGGAATTTAAGGAGTAATCTAATATAACTAAAAATTACTGAAGAGAAATTCTGTTCCTGAAGTTTGGGATGTTGAACAAAAAAGGCCTGCATTCCCTTAGCAATAAGATATTTTCTACGGGCTAATGAGGAGTGGTAGAGGCAAAGAAGCCCTGATGAACTAAATTCCACAGGGTCAGAGAATGGAGCATTCATATATGGGGAGTGAACCATGCTGCTTCCCTACCTTGGGCCAGGGACCTACTCTAGATACAGGTGAACCTACCATTAGGCAAATACATTTTATCAGGCAAACAGAAATCAGCTAGACTGTAGACAACAGTGTGGTGTAGCAAAGTGGTTTAGAGACAATAGTCCTCTAACACAAAAACAGACTACTTGGTTCAACAATTCAACACTACTCACTCTGCAACACATGCCCTCCAAGTTTTTTAAAGAAAGTAGCTGTGGAGGGGAAAATGGTAGCTCCAGACATTGCAGAATCCAAAAGTAAACCAAAACAGCCAAATCACTCCAGCTGAAAAACTGTCAAGATACAAAAGAAAGCATCTTGGAAGCCTGGGTCAATAACAGATTAACTGGTAAAAATGTCCATACTACCCAAAGCAATCTACAGATTTAATGCAATTTCTATCAAAATAACATTTTTTTACAGAACTAAAATAAAGAATTCCAAAATTTGTATGAAGCCACAATAGCCAAAGCTGAATAGCCAAAGCAATCTTGAAAAAGAAGAAACCAAGAGGTATCACAATCCCAAGTTTCAAGATATATTATAAAGCTGTCATAATCAAAACAGGATGGTACTTGCACAAAAACAGACACATAGATCAATAGAACAAAACAGAAAACCCAGAAATAGGCCCATGATTATATGGTCAAAGAAGGAAAGAATATACAATGGAGAAGAAGTCTCTTTAACAAATGGTGCTGGGAAAACTGGACAGCAACATGCAATAGAATGAAACTGGACCACTTTCTTACACCATACACAAAAATAAACTCAAAATGGACTAAAGAGCTAAATGTGGGACCTGAAACCATAAAAATCCTAGCACAGGCAGTAATTTCGCTGATATTGGCTGTAGCAACTTCTCTCTAGATATGGAAACAAAGGAAAGGCAAAGGAAACAAAGGCAGAAATAAACTATTGGGACTACATCAAAATAAAAAGCTTGTGCACAGTGAAGGAAACAACCAACAAAACTAAAAGACAAGCTAATGAATGGGAGAAGATATTTGCAAATGATATAGCCAGTAAAGGATTAGTATCTAAAATACATAAAGAACACACACAACTGAACATCCAAAAAACAAATAATCCAATTAAAAATTGGGCAGAAATTATGAACAGACATTTCTCCAAAGACATGTAGATGGACAGGAGACACATGAAAAGATGCCCAACGTCACTAATCATTAGGGAAATGCAAATCAAAACCACAATGAGGTATCACTTTGCACCTGTCAGAATGGCTAATATCAAAAATACAAGAAGCAAGTGTTGGTGAGGATGTGGAAAAAAGGGACACTTCTGCACTGTTGGTGGGAATGTAAACTGATGTAGCCACTGTGGAAAACAGGATGTAGTTTCCTCAAAAAGTTAAAAAAAAAAAAAAATTACCAGGGGCGCCTGGGTGGCTCAGTTGGTTAAAAATCCAACTTTGGCTCAGGGTATGATCTCACAGTTTGTGAATTTGAGCCCCACATGGTGCTCTCTGCTGTCAGGGCAGAGCCCATGTTGGATCCTCTGTTCTCTCTCTGCCCCTACCCCACTCACGCACTCTCTCAAAAATAAATAAACATTTAAAAAAATATAGAATTACCATATGATCCAGTTCCACTAATGGGCATAAATACCCCCAAAATACAGCAACACTAATTTGTAAAGATATATACACCGCTACATTTGTTGCAGTGTTATTTATAACAGCCAAATAATGGAAGCAACCCAAATGTTCACTGACAGATGAATGGATAAAAAAAAATGTGGTATACACACACACACACACACACACACA